GGCAGAAGTAGAACCATGGAGGTGAAGTTGAAGGCAGATTTCAGCTTAATATAACAAAACTTTCTGAAAATTAGGGCAGCTTCTAGAAGTAATGAACGCCCTGTCCCTGGAAGTATTCAAGCAGAGTTTATACAATCTGTTGGGGATATTCTAATGAGGATTTCTGCAATGAAGGGAATGTTGGGCCAATGATCTCCAAGGTACCTTTCATCTCTGAGTCCATGGTTCTATAAGACGGAATTCTGTTTGATTCACAATGCATTTATTAAGTACCTACTATTTACTATAGGCTGGGGATATAAAAACAAAATTGAAGATAGTCTCTACCCTCAAGGAACTTTCATTCTACTGGAGGAGGAGTAAAGTAAATTACAAATGTATACAAAGTAATTTCAGAGAATGGGAGGGGGAGAGGACTAATAGGTAAGATTGTAAGTAAAGGCCTTGGGGTAGGTCAGTGTCTAGGTGGATAAAGTACTGGCCTCGGAGTCAAAGACAGCCTTAGATACTTACTAGCTGTATGACCCTGGGAAAAATCACTTAACCCAAATTACCTTAAAAAAAAGTAAAGGCCTTATGAAAGAGGCAGTGCCTAAGTTAGTTCTTAAAGGAACTATGCACTTCAAGAGGCGTGAGGTCAGAGAGCATTCTGGGAATGGGGCCCATTCTGTGAGCCCAAGGCAAAGGCATGGAGGTTGGAAACACAATGTCATTTGGCAAATAGGCCAATTTGGCTGGAATTCAATTCAAGAAACAATTACCTTCCTGACAAGGTGGTTGTGAGGAAAGTAGTTTGTAACTCTTCAAGGACTGTAGAAAAGAGAGCTTATTATTATCTAGTCCATTCCCTTTTCTCCTAAGTGGTGCTTATCACAGAATTGAAATTTTAGAGTTGAAGGAACCTTAGAAATAATGTTGTTCAATCCATTCAACATACAGACAAGGAAACTTAGGGTGAGAGGGGGGAAAGTCATTAAACTAAAGTCACACAGTGAGTTGGTGTAACAAGTGAAATCAAGTATTTGGGTGACACTGTTTAAAAAAAACAAACCTCTCCTTCCTTAGTAATACATCCCAATGTCTTGCTTCCACTGTGATCAAGAGGTTCAGATTTTTCTAATTCTGGTGTTTATCCCTGCTGAAAAGTAATAGGAAGAGGTGGAAATGAAGATGAGGTAGGAAGGTCTATACCACCAGCAAGCATGGTGGAGTGGCTGGGTGAGGGAGGCGGGGAACCACAGCACAGTTTATGGATTGAAAAAGTCTCATCTCTTCACATTTTTTTGTACCCAATCTTTTTATGCAACTTTGAATTTTACAGGCAGGAAACTGACTATGATTGTCAGGTTTGGGGTATTTTTTTTCTCTTAAAAAACAATTGAGGGGGAGGGTGGAGAATTTCTTCCCCTACTCCCTCATCACAAAACATTCACATCCCAACACTTAGTCATTTGTCAAGTAGTTTGACCACTATGCAGAATTCTTTGATGACACAAAATACACTGTTATGTTCTAGCTCATGAAAACAAAATGTAAGATGGAATTTCAGAATGAAAAAAACTCGTAGGCCAGAAAACTCCCCGGTTAATGATCAGTCGAAAAAACCAGGGCTTGGCTGGGAGTGCGTTTGTCCCATAATGGTGGTAAATTCCTACAGTTGTATTGGTGGCATTCTTGAATTATAGGGGACTTCCAGTCGGCTGTTTCTTTGTCAAATGAATTGTGTTAAATGTCTTCATTAGGAGATGCAGAAACTGAATCAGCAACTGGAAGAGAAAGAGAGAGAGCTGCAGCGGCTGCTCATGGAGCCCCAGCATGAGCGGGAGCGAGAAATCCTGCTGCTGCAGAGAAGTTTGGCGGAGAAGGAGAAGGCGCAGGCCACAAGCGAGGTGCTCTGTCGGTCCCTGACTGATGAGACTCATCAGCTCCGGAGGACTCTGGCCGCCACCGCCGAGATGTGTCAGCACCTCGTCAAATGTCTGGACGAGAAGCAAAGATCTGGAGGGCACAGGGAGGAGAAACCCCCCTTGGAAAGATCTAATAAGGTACGTGGTGCACTTTTGAGACTCACTTTATCTGTAAAATGAAGGGGTTTGATTTATTGCTATATCTGCTTCACTCTGCTCATCTGTAAAATGGGAATAATAATGGTGCACTGACCATTTCACAGGGTCATTCTGAGGAAATACTCTGTAAAACTTGAAACACTAGAGGAATTAGAACATATTTGTTATTATTTGTAGTATTCAAAGGTCCCCTCCAACTCGGAGCCCTGTGTTGGTTCAGCTGGTTCAGATGCTGACTTTGCCGATTCACTGATTTTTTGAGGGGAAAGAGGGGACCGATGTGGAGCCAAAGTTGAGACCTTCTCATATACCCCAGCAGCTAGGTAATTATAGAAAGGTGTTTGAGGGGAATGATAACACTACCACTAATGATAGCTGACATTTATATGGTACTTTCAGATTTGCAAAGTGTTTTATCATCTCTTTTGATCCTTGCACCAGCCTTATGAGGTAAGTCCCATCTTATAGATGAGGAAACTGAGGCTGAGGGACTTGGCCAGTGTCACATGGTTAGCAATAGTTTGAGGCTGTAGTTGAATTCAGATCTTCCTGACTCTAAATCTAGCTCTCTATGCCCTTTACCGCAATATGGAGGGACAGAAATTGGCAACTTCTGCCTCATAAAAACCTCTGGACCTTCAGAGTAATTACTAAAGTCACATTTGCATGAGAAGCTTCCCTTGCTATCCTTCCTCATTAATAAAAACCACATAGTTTTCGGGGCAAGGCTCTGAGAGTGAGAGATCCCTTGATCCTTTCTAGAATGACTAAAGATGCAAAATACAATTAGAGGTAAACCTAGACCAGCCTGCTTTTCTGTGAGCTGGTCAAACACAGAGCCTAGGACACTCACTTTCCACTTTGTGCAAGAAGCCTCTGTGGGAATGGTCCTTTAAAATAATCACTTGTTTTAGGCCACGATTTAGGAAGTAAATAGGAAGAGCTCACTGGATCATAGATTCAGAGATCATCACACATGAGGAAACAGATGAGGTGAAGTGACTTGCCCAGGTCACACAGCTACTAGTAAAGTGTCCAAAACAGGATTTGAATCCACATCATCCTGAGTCCAACTCTCTGTTCATTATACAACACCTGACTCGTAGAATATGAGAGGCTGTGCCATCGATAAGCAGAGAGAGCGACAAAGCACATATTCTAGGCTACTGGATGCAGTCTTCTAAGATTTTGTTCTTAAAGTTTCAGTTCTTCAGAGACTGTTATGTTCTGAGACCCAAAGCCATAGGGTATCATCAAGGGAATGTCAGTGTTAACAAAATGTTAAGCTATTGTTTCTGGGAGAATCCTAAGGTTATTGAAAGAATTTAACAGTTTCCCAAAAACAATACAGCCTATTCTCCTCCTCCTGTTCTATTCTGGTCCCAACTCATTGTCTAATTGCAGCGTGTATGCTCATGTGTATATATACATACATGCATGTACTCTCTGTGTGTGTGTGTGTGTGTGTGTGTATACACATACATATACACACATAGGTCTGCTTATATATACATACATACATACAGGGGCAGCTAGATGACTCAGTGAATAGAGAATTGGGCCTGCAGTCAGGAAGATCTGAGTTCAAATCCAGCCTCAGACACTCTGCAGAAAATCACTTAACCTCTCTTTGCCTTAATCCACTGGATAAGGAAATGGTGAACCACTCCAGTATCTTTGCCAAGAAAACCCCATGGGCAGTATTGGTGTGCTGTGGTCCATGGGGTTATGAAGGATCAGACATGACTGAATGACTGAACAATAATACATATATACACATTGCAATTAGACAATGAGTTTTGTACATGTATAGATATAAACACATATGCATATTACATACATATACTCACATATATACATACACATATATACACACATCAATATGTAAATATACACTTATATATAAATATATGTACACATAAATATATATATATATATAATCTGTATGTATATGCTTTTAGGTAAGCTCTATCAGTTGTCCATTCAACTGTACATTCCAAAATGGATGAGATGTTCTTTATACACTTGGTTTTTCCTATGTGGATAGCCCATGCCCTTTAGAGGGTGATAAGGCACGTGCATGGATAAATCCATGACAAATTAGAATATGAGAAGTACATAGAGTACAAAAATGTCATGAGATCAGATGAGGAAGAAATCACTTCCAGCTTAAGGGATCAGGGAAGGCTTCATGGAGGAGGTGACTTTTAAACCAGGCCTCAAAGCATGAGTAGGAAGTCTCTGGGCAAAAATAGGGGGTAAAGGCCATTTTTGGCATAAGGAACAGTGTGAAAAGTGATCTGAAAGCATGAGATTCATCCAAAGCATGGCAGATTGTCTAGTCTGACAGGAGTATTGCGAACATGATGGGGAAAAAAATATTGTGAAATAAAGTTGGAAGCCAGATTGGAGCCTGACTACAGAGGGCTCTAAGTGCTAGGCTAAGAAGTTTCCTTTATTTGGTGATCAATGGGGAGCCATTGAAGTCTTCTAGGGAGTGGAGTGATGGATTATAATGGTACCCAGAAAAATGTGGTAAATTCATGTAGGATGGATTAAAAGGGATAAGAGATGAGAGAAAGATGGGAAGCGAGGAGATCTGCTAGGAAAGGACTGAAATGATCTAGGTAATACTCCAGGGAAAGAGGACCTATCTGGGAATGGTAAAGAAGGGACAGATAGAACCTGCAGAATTGGCAATGGGATGAAGAAAGGCTTCAAAGATACCACCAATCATGTGACCAAAGGAATTAGAGTTGGAAGGAGAGAAAGCATGGTGCAGTAGGCAAATCACTATATTTAGATTTGGAGGACATGATTTGGAAACCTACTTACTAGGTTTTACTGCTTACCAACTCTGTAGCCCTGGGCAGGCCACTTAACCCCTAGAGATCGTGAGAGATCATCTAATCTGACTCCCCAACTTGACAGAAGAGGAACAGAAAAGTTAAATGGTTATCCGAGGTTAGCTGAGTAATTAAGAAGAAGCCAGGGTTCAAGGCCAAGGTCCTCTGACTCCAGAGAACACCAGTGTTCTTTCTACACTAGGGCACACTGCCCTAGTTCTGCCTGGATGATATTTATTGGTACTCTTGAATGGAACAGGAAATTTAGGAAGGATGATAGTATTTAGGGGGCTGGAGGAAGAGCATTTTTCATCATTTTCTCCTTTTGGGTAGTGGGAAGAGCTATGGGCTGGGGAGTTAAGCAATATGGGATCTAGTCCCAGTTCTGATATCCACTGGCTGGGTGACTTTGGGCATATTACTTCCCCTCTTGGGGCTTTCAGTTTTCCTACTTGTAAAATGAGGTAGGTAGAAGAGATGATGAGCTCTGAGGTTCCTTCCAGCTTGAATGTTCTAGGATTCTGTTAGAAGTGGATTATATGGAGCTGACAGGTGGGGGAGAGGGGAGTCTTTCTGAGAAAATAGCTTGATGTTACAGGAATTTTACAGGTGATCACCAGGGGGATAGTGAGTTATGGAGGAAGGTCTCTGGGAGCTCTCTTATGATCTTTGTCTTGGTCTGGTACCAGAGCCTACCCAAGGGGAGTCTCCAGGAGGAACAGCCCATTTCTGAAACTAAGAAAGAAGCTACTAGTTTGGTGATAGTGGGGCTTCCCTTCCCCCCGCCTCTTAGTACTTTTTGGAATCATTGCAGCATTTCCCCTTTCTTTTTTAAAGTCCCAAACATGTTTTGAATGACCTGAGGTAGAAAGTGAGTTTTCGGTTTGGGATATTCAGGGTGTGTGTCTGGCAGTCTGGGGCGGCAAAGCATCACATTATTCTAAGACTGGGTCAAGTTTCTAGTCATGTAATTAGTCAGGTTGCTTCAGGGATTCCCGTCTGGGAGAACGGTTGTCAGATGTGATTCCCAGATTGTTTGAGGGGAATTCTGGATAAATGTAGCTTGATAGAGAAAGTGAGTTACAGAATTTCACAACTGGAAGAGACCTTGAAGGCATCTGAACCAACCCATCCCTTCCTAAGATTACACTATGCAACCTAAGGGTGTTGGAAGGTGCTCTAAGAGATCGTCTGGCCCAACTCCCTCACTGAACAGGAAAAAACCGAAGCCCAGAGAGATTAAGTATCTTGCCCAAGATCCTAAGTGTAGTAGGTGGTGGAGCCAGAAGTCCCATCTTGGTCTTCTGACCCCAAATCCAGGGCTCTTTACAGTACCCCACACCGCCTCTCCAAGAGGTGGTCAGTTAGCCTCCCCTGGAAGACCTCCAGTGACAGAGAGCCCTCTTTCATTCCAGTTTTGAGCAGTTTGGGTGGTTGAGGACTTGTTCTTTATGTCAAGCTTATCTGTAGCTGCCCTTTCTGGCTCTCCATTCTGCCATCTAAAATGCCAAGTAGAAGACATCTAATCCTATCCTTCCACGTGACAGGCCTTCAGATCCTTGAAGCCAGCAATCAGAATGGTCCTTCCCCTAAGCCCATCTTCTGAACAGATTTGGGGTATTTTTCTGAGTGACCAGGAGAACAGGAGAACACTGAATTTGTGGCAGAAAGTGCCCTTGGAAGCAAGTCTTAAGTGCCTCTTAGTAGCTATGTCACCTAAGGCAAGTCTTCACATCTTTGGGACTCAGTTCCCAAATTTGTAAAATGGGAATCATAATATTATGATGTTCTTTACAACTATTATTTCATTTGATCTTCACAATAACCCTGGGAGGTAGGTGCTATTATTATCCCCATTTTACAGATAAGGAAACAGAGGCAAATAGTGCTTAAGTGATTTGCCCAGTGCCATACAGCTAGTAAGTGTCTGAGGATGAATTTGAACTCGGGTCTTCCTGATTCCAGACCCAATATTCTATTGACTGCTCTTAGGTACCAGGTTGCCTTTCCAGAATTAAAGTCTTTAGAAAGACCTTTAGAAAGACTATGTTTTTAGAATGCTTAAATGTAAATGTTCTAAGAAAACAGTTTCAGCTTTTTACAGAAGGAGGACAGATGCCAAGGCCCTGCTGATACCACTGTGAGGCAGCTGTGATTTAGAAGAACATTGGTTTTGGAGTTAGAATATTGTTGTTGTTGTTAAGTCATGTCTGACTCTTTGTGATCCTGTATGGAGTTTTCTTGGCAAAGATACTGGAGAGGTTTGCCATTTTGTTCTCCAGTGGATTAAGGCAAACAGAGGTTAAGTGATTTGCCCAGGGCCACACAGCTAGTGAGTGTCGGAAGCTGGAATTGAACTCGGGTCTTCCTGACTCCAGGCCCGGCACTCTATCCACTGAGCCACCTAGTTGCTAAGGAGTTAGAATACATCAGATCTAATTCTGCTTCTGACACTTACTAGGTGTGTGTTCCTGGGCAAGTCACTTCCTCTCTCTGAGCCTCAGTTTCCTTGTTTGTAAAATGAGAATGATAACAGTTGCACCATCTACCTCTCAACCACTGGGAAAATGCTACGTAAACTTTAAAGCCTATCGGAAATTTGAACTTATTATTTATTATTCCTTGAACTCTTTTCCCTAAGCTATAAGCAACAAAATGGTGTCTAGCTTTTAGAGCTAGTTATTCTAATGCCTCATGCTGTAGGGGATGGAGTCTACAATGGGAATGTCCTCATGGAATGTTGATTTCATGAAAACTCCTAGTTATCACATTGACACCCGGGCTCCCCTTCACCTCACAACATCAAAGTTATTTCCTGGTTATCTCTTTCTCCTCTCCCATATGTCTCTTGAAACAAAAAAGTACAATGAAGCAAAACAAACCTACCCATTGATCCTGGTTGATAGCATATATGGTTCATTCGGGGCCTGTGCTCCACTACCTTTCTCCTGAAGAGAGTTGAGGTCTTTCTCATCAGTCAAGGTTGTTCAGTGCACTGATTTGAATTTCAGTGTTTTAAAATTTTGTTTGCCTTGACTTTATGGACACAGGTGTTTGCATGCTGTTTCCCCTTTAGACTGTGAGCTCCTTGGGAGCAGAGACTGTCTTTTGCCTTTCTTTGTAACCCCAGCCTTTAGTGTAGGGCCTGGGCACACAGTAGGTGCCTAGGAAGGAAGTGCCTGTTTATAGACTTCACATCATTTTAGGGGTTGTGTTTGCTCTCTTGCTTTACATTATTCTGCATGAGTTCAGATAAGTCTTCCCAGGCGTTTCTGAATTCTTCATATTGTCATTTCTTGTAGCAGAATGACCGTCCATTCCATTGACAAGCCACAGTCTGTTCTGCTAGTCCCCAGTCATTGAGCACCCTCTTTGCTACCTCAAAGCAGATGAGTTCTTATATTGCTGCTTTAATGTGATCGATCCAGTTTGATTTTGAAGTGACTATAAGCACAGGAAAAATTCCTCTTCCAAACAAGGCTGGGGAAAAGGTTATTACTTAGTAGTTGTTCAATCTGTGTCTCATGGGAGGGAGGAATGTCATGATAAGGTATTTTTTTTCTTCCTCCACAGCTACAATTTCCTGAAGGTGATGTCTCGGTTCATGCCATTATTTGTAAATTACAGGAGGAAAACAGGCTCCTGAAACAAAAAGTGGTTCATGTGAGTATGTTTCTCCTTATTTCGTATTTGTGGGAGGAGGGTGTGGCGAAAAGAGCATTGTCCTTAGAGTCAAGAAACCTGGGTGGAAATCCTAGGTCTGACACCTCACTGCCCCGGGGCTTTGGAGCCTTCATCTTTCTGAGCCTCAGCTTCTTCATTTGTAAAATTGGGATAAGAATATTTCCACTACTTTCCCAACAAGATGGTTAAGAAAAGTGCTTCGCAAACCTTAAAGTGGTATAGAAATGGCAGTTGTATTTTTGGTTTGTCACTGCCAGCTACCAAGACTAGCTGATATCACTAAGGCTAGTCTGGGTGTCAGCCCCTCAAACTCCAGATTAATAATGACTATTTCAGTACCATTTAATATTTTACAACAATCCTGTGAGGTAGCTGGTGCAGATTTTATTCCCATTTAACAGGTGAGGAAACTGAGATAGGACATCTAGTGGATCCAGCTTACCTCTCCAGTTTGGTTTCACATTCCTCCACCTCATTTCCTCAATGTTACAGTCAAATGAGGCTACTTGTGATGTGTCCATTGCCTATCTCTCAGCCTTTGCCTAGGCTGGCCCCCATGCCCGGAATGCACTACTTCCTTGCCTCCTCCAATGAAATCCCCACCTCATCTAAAAGGTCTCTCTCAATGTTTCCTTCTCATTACTTAGTGCCCTTCACAACTCCACCAGAAATTACTTTGTATATACTTGTATATATTTTGTATTGACAGCTATGTACGCGTAGTTTCCTTCACCATCATCATTATCATCATAACTAGCATCTACGTAGCACTTTAAAGTTTACAAAGCACTTTACAAATATTATCTCATTTTATCCTCACGATAACTCCAGGAGGGAGATGTTTTTATCCTTATTTTACAGGTGAGGCAGACACAGGTTAAGTGACTTGCCCAGGGTCACACTAGTGAGTGTCTGAGACTGGATTTGAACCAAGGACTTCTCAACTCCACAGGTCCAGCACTATTTCCACCTTGCCACCTAGCTTTCATTAGAATAGAAGTTACTTCAGGGCAGGGACTATTTTATTTTATTTTTTACTTTGTATTACCAGTGCCCAGCACACAGTAGCCACATGCTTATTGAATGAAAATGTCAGAGTTGGGATTTGAACCTATTAATCCAGGGCTCTTTCTAGTACACCAGGAGATCTCTTATAACCATGACCAATTCTACAGGAATTATTTTAAAAGCCTTGACCTTGTTTGGCTACAAGAAGGAATAGAACACTCATGGCTTTGCTTCATTTTGGGGGAGGAAGTGGGGAGGAGGAAGAAAGGAAAAAATAGGGGAAGTCTAATGGTCACTATAAGGAAGTAATATAGCTTTTGGTTTTTGGTTGGGGGTGTGTGTGTGTGTTTTTTTGTTTGTTTGTTTGTTTGTTTGTTTGAAATTAAATTTAAGACACCGGGGAAGAAATCAGCCCATGCTGGAATTTCTCAAAGCCTCCTTTGTGGTTTTTAGAAGGCTGCTGATTGCATTGTGGTAATCCTTCCAATCACCAAGTAGATATTTTGGAGTTAGGAGGCACCCAAATGATGTTCCAGGTCAAACATTCCTTTTACAGAGGAGGAACTGAGATCTCATTGCCTTCCAAATAAAGTATAAACTCATGACTTTCTTCATTTATTCAGCCTCATTCTGTCCTCTCCCACCTCTGCATTTTGCTTATGCTCTCCCCTGTTCTAGCAATGGCTGCTCCTCTCCCCCATCTCCATCTGTCCAAGACTCCTTCCTTCAAGACTCAATTCAGATGCCCCCTTTTCCATGAAGTTTTCCCTGACTCCCTCCCTCTCGTCCCATCCCCCTCCTCCTCTTCACTCCATGGGAAAGTGGCCCTTCTTCCTCACATTCCTGGAGCACTTCACTGAGATCTTCTCTCATTCTCCTTTGTAGCACAATTATTTCTGTGCTTTTCCTTCCCCTCCATTAAACTGTACTTCTTCCACAAGCAGAGCCCATATTGGATTTATCTTTGTGTCCCCAGGGCCAACCACATTTCCTCCTGCACATAGTAGCAGTTTGATAAATACTTATAGAAATGAAATGCCCAGAGAGAAGGGATTTGCCCAAGATCATATTACAAATTAGTGGCAATTCAGAGCTGGAATTCAGGTTGATGGTGTCTGGATTCCCACACTAGTGTTTTTTTTTTTTTCTGGGCTTAAGTTACAGGAGGGCAGATAATTCTGGGAAGAGTAGTACATGTATGCAACAGACACTTAACACAGTAGATTCCACTCCTTGAAATCACTGGTTAATAAAACCAGCTAACTAGCATTATATGTAATTGGTTTAAAAAAAAAAAACAACAACCTGTAAATAACTTAAGTATTGAATGTTGGGGGGAAATGAGGTTCCATGAGATTGATGGAGCCAGAGGACCGGGGTTCAGAGGTGGCACTAAAACCCTAGGTGGATGGTATGATTCCTCGTGTAATGTCCTCCTCATTATTCAAGCATGCATGGCCTCGATGTATCAGGAACTGCAAAAAAACAAGTTAAATTAACATGGGATTTAGAGCCAGAAGGAACTTTAGAGAGAAATGATCAAGTCCAACATTCTCATTTTACAGAAGAGGAAACTGAGGTCCAGAGAAGGGACATGATTTTCCCAAGGTGGCATAGTAGGTTGCAGAGTCAAGATCTGAACTCTGGTCCTCTGGCTCCATTATTCTCATAGTACCTCTTTTTTTTTAACCTTTTTCCCTATCATTTGACACTTAAATTACATGTACTGTTGCCATGAAAATCTTTGAATAGATTTTGCATTTTTGTTTTTTTGTAACACTTTAAATATGTATATTCTCAAGTATAGTGTTCTCAGTACAAAGGGCATAATTCCTTTTGTAACTTTTCTTGCATACTGCCAGATTGCTCCCCAAAAGGTTCTGCAGGTTTGCGGTTTAGGTGTACTTCTTTCTCCATCACTCTGGTCCTATTGAATTTTGTTGCTTTTAATTGCTTTTACCAATTTGATGGAAGTAGGGTGGGCCCTCGAGGTTGTTGTAGATTGGATTTCTCATTATTGGTATAGTTGAGGGTTTTTTTCCCCCCTTAATGATAATTAGCAATCTATGTTTCCTCTTTTCAAAATCATCTGTTCATATCCTTTGACTGTTTATCCATCGTGGTTTGGGAATTATTGCTGTGACTTATTAACAGTTCCTTAAATATTTTAGATTTTTAAAAAATCTGTTCTGTTTGTCATGTTATCTTTTCTCTCAGTCTGTTACTTTTATCTTAATTATATTGGTTTTTGTTGTACAGAAACTTTTAGTGTAGGTGATTATATATTTAGACATCAACTATATAATTATAATTTATATATATATAAATATATATATAGACATATACTTTCTTATATGTCTATACTTCTTTCCATTTGCCACATTAAAAAAAAAAAGCTTTCCTTTCCATAACCAAGACAGTCCATTTGTTGTTTTTAAAAAAAGTAGCATTGGGTTGAATATCTAGCACTTATATGTGGCACAGGAGAAAACAGGTGAGCAGAAGGGTGGACCTTGGTGGTGGTTATAGTGGGGCTTATTTACGGTGAGGTGAGGTAGTTAATGGGTATCCTCTTGAGGATTTGGGGAAAGAAAATGCTTGTCCTACCTTCATCGAGACCCATTCTGATTCTTCTTCCTCAGGTAGAAGATCTGAACGCCAAATGGCAGAAGTACGACGCTAGCAGGGATGAGTATGTGAAGGGCCTCCATCTGCAGCTGAAGGAACTGAAAGTCCTTCCCGAGCAGGGTTTGCCCATGAGCCCGGAGCTTATGCAGAAGGAGATTTTCCGGCTAAACAAACTGTTGGAAGAAAAAATGGCTGACTGCTTGAAAGTAAAAAGGGAGCTGGAAGATATGAAGAAGGCAAAAGATGGAGACAGTGAGCGGATACAGATGTTGGAGCAGCAGGTCAGCAAGGGCACAGTCACTCAGCTTCTGAGAAATTTGATGCAGAATGAAAAATTCTTTCTATTGCTAAGCCTCAGCTTGTTCTGCTAGCCCCCGATCAAGGGGCACCCTCCTTGCTTCCACAAAACATATTGATTTTTATACTGTGATTTAGTTTGATTTTGAAGAGACTGTCACTAAAAAAAATTTTATGGTAATATTAAACTTAATTTAAGTATCAAATGATGGGGGGGGCAGAAAATGACATGAACTTTTAGCTGGAAATCTTTCTGGGGCTGGGGCATTGAATTTTCTTAGGGCCCTAAGATTTAATGCTGGAAGGGACCTTGGAGATTAGTGGACAAACATTTATGAAGCCTGCTGTGTACCAGGTATTATTCTGGGCCCTTGAGATACAAAGACAGAGATGAAATAGTTCTTCTCCTCAAGGAACTTATATTCTACAAGGGGAAACAGTATGCACATATATAGATATACACAGAACAGATTATGGTGCTAGAAAATGATAGATTTGACAACTAATTGAATATGGGGTGTGAGTACCAGTGAGGAGTTGAGGATTGTTACTAGAGTTGTGAACCTGGGCTCTCAGAAGGATGGTGGTGCCCTCAACAACAATAGGAAAGTTCAGAAGAAAGATGAAAGAAAAGGAAATGAAGTCTATTTTGGACATGTTAAATTTGATATGCCTTTGGAACATCTTGTTCTGAATGTCCAATAGCAATTGCTGATACAGGAGAGACGTTCAGAAGAAAGACTGGAATACACACACACATACACACATATATATACATACATACATACATACATACATACATACATATACATATACATATATATATATATTCTGCATAGAGATCATAATTAAATCCATGGAAGCTGATGGGCTAGCTCCCCAAGTGAGAGCATGGAAACAAAATAGAAGGTGGTCTAGGACAGAGTCTTGGATAACCCCACAGTGAAAGAGCATGACATGGGTGAAAATCTAGCAAAGTGAACAGGGAAGGAGCTGTCAGTCAAGAGGAGAAGCGAGAGCAGAGTGTCACAAAAACCTAGAGAGGAGAGAGTGTACAGGAGGAGAAGGTGATTCAGCAGTGAGAGATGTTGCAGAGAGTTCCAGAAAGATGAGGACTGAGAAAAAGTCATTAGGTTTGGCAAGTAAGAGACATTCTCACTCTGAAGAGAAGAGTTTCAGTTGAGTAATGAGGTCAGAAGCCAGACTGCAGAGTGTTTAGAAGAGAGTGAGACGAGGGGAAGTGAAGGGACCCGGTCTAGATAGCTTTCTGGAATTTAGCAAAGAAAGGGAGGAGAGATTTAGTTTCCTCATCTTGTGAATGAGGAAACCGAGACTCAGAAGGGATGATCTGACACCCTGGAGGTGACTGGGTGTAGAGAAGACGTTGATTGCTGAGTCAGTCTGCATAAGCCAATTTAGTCACCTGCTCCTCCAACTTTATCTTGATTCCAAATTAAGCACCTTTAAGTTCTGTGCTTTGGATCCCGTCAGCCGAAAATTGCAGGAGTGGGATGGTGAGCAAGAGAGGGACAGATAAGGTTGGTCAGTGCAAGCCCATCACTGACATGGAAAAAAAGCTCAAAATCTCTTGTATCATCTTATATAAAATGAGAGGATTTTGAGCTAAGAGGGTCCATAGAAATCACCTAGTATACAGGCTCTTAACCTGGGATCCATAAACTTTAAAAAAAAAAAAAAGATTTTGATAATTGTATTTCAATATAATTGGTTTCTTTTGCAATCCTTTGCATTTAATTTTATTCATTTATAAACATTATTCTGGCTAGCATAGTGGCATGCGCTTGTGGATTGATTGAATTTGGGAGTTCTGAGCTACCGTAGGGCTAAAGCCAATCATGGTCCTCACTAATGGGAGGAGAAGGATGACAAGTCTGCCCGAGGTGTGTTGAATTGGCCCAGGTCAGAAAAATAGATCAAAGCTTTCCAGATGATCTAGGGGGACCCGGCCTCAAAAAAGTAAATAAATCCTTACAAGTTTGGAAGCTTCACCAGACTGCCAAAAGAGTTCTGTGACCAAAAAAAGCTTAAGAACCTGTGATCTAGTCCAATGTCCCCATTTGGTAAAGGAGGAGATGGAGGGGAATGAAGGGAAGTAGTTTGTACAAGGTCACATAGTATGTAGGAGGAAAGACTGAAACTTGAATCCCTACCTTAGGATTCCAAAACCATTGGGTTTTCCCTTAAACAAGTGTTTAGGGCAGTGTTTTTTTGGGGGGGGGGGGGCCTTGACTGTTGTAGGTAAAGTGTCTTTTAATGCCTACTATGGGAAGCACTTAAGTTTTTTCTGTTTTCAGGTGCTTGTTTATAAGGATGATTTTACGTCAGAAAGAGCGGATCGGGAGCGGGCACAAAGCAAGATTCAAGAACTTAAGGAAAAAGTTGCAACCCTACAGCACCAGATATCCAGGAGACAGGTAAAACACTGAAATAAAATCAGAAAGATTTTTATTGTGAATTTCCTTTTAAAGGTTAATCAACCAACAAAATCTTATTAAGCATGAATGTATAAGTAGAGGTTATATCAGATTGCACGCCATGTTGGGGAGGGGGAAGGAGTAGGAGGGGGAGAAAATTTAAAACTCAAAATCTTATGGAAGTGAATGTTGAAAACTAAAAATAAATTAATGAATTATTTTTAAAAAACCCCAAATATTACTGAGTGACTCAGTAGTTACATTCTCTTGATCACTCCACATACAAAAGTTACATTTCATCAAGGACAGGTGATTCTACTTTATCAAGAGCAGAGTATTTTCTTGTGTTATTTCTTTCTCCCTTTTAAAATTCAAAATTATTTTATTAAGCTCCTGCTTGAGACAGTGAATAGAGCCTTGGGTCTGGATTCCAAAAGACTTAAGTTCAGATCTGGCCTGACACTTACTAGCTGTGTGTCCCTGGACAATTCACTTAACCTTTATCTACCCCGGTGTCCCTATCTGTAAAATGGGAATTTGTTATCGTTCAGTATATCTGACTCTTTGTGACCCCATCTGGGGTGTTTCTTGGCCATTTATGTTTCCAGCTCATTTTACAGATGATGAAACTGAGGCTAACAGGGTTATGTGACTTGCCCAGGGTCACACAGATAGTAAGTGTCTGAGGCCAGATTGAACTCAGGAAGATGAGTCTTCTTGACTCCAGGCCCAGCATTTTATCCACTTCACCACCTAGCTGCCCTTCATGTGGACAATGGGAATAATAACACTTATCTCCCAGGGCCAATATGAAGTTAAAATGAGATAATACATGTAAAGTGTATTTCAAACTATTGAGAGCTAGATAAATGCTTGTTGTTGTATTTCTTTTACTTTCTTGAATACATTCTTTTTTCTACCTAGAGAGTTCCAGTTTATAACAAAGATCTTTTAAAAAGAAAAGAAAAGAAAAACAGTTCAGTGGAATTATGCAACTCATTCACCGTATTCTAACAGTATATACAACATTACACAGTTATACTGCCTCATCTCTGAAATGACGGGAAGGAGGCATATTCTCTCAACCTTTTTTTCAGGTCCTAACTCAGTCATTATAATTACACACATTTCTCTTTGTTGCATTGTCCTCTGCATTAATATGTTTTCAACATATTGAGTATTGTTCTCCTGTGTCTTGTTTCTTACGTTTTCATTGGTTATATGTCTTCTAATGGATCTCTGAATTCTTCATAATCATTGTTTCTATTGCACAATAATGTGCTTTTTTACACTTGTACCATACCTTTATGTAGATATTCTCCAGGGAGTGGACAATCTATTATCTCTGTAAAAAAAAAATGTTATTAAGCACCTACCATGTACTAGGCAGGGCTTCTAGCTGCCTGACTACAGGCCTGGCACTGCCCCAGGAGTCAGGAAGACCTGAATTCAAATCTGACCTTGGACACTTAGTGGGGTGACCCTAGGCAATTCACTTAACCTCTGTGTGCCCTAGTTTCCTCAACTGTAAAATGCGGATAATGGTAGCACCTATCCCAGAGGATCAAATGAGATGATATTTACAAAGCACTTAAAATAGTGCCTGGCACATACCAGGTGCTTACTAAATGCTTATCCCCTTCCCTTCCCCTAGGAATAACTAATAACAATAGCCAGCATTTATAGAGCATTTTAAGTTTACAGAATCTGCTTTAAATATAGTTATCTTTGCATGAGTTTATCAAGTAAACGAGAAGTGGGTTTCTGTTAATACAATGAGCTAATGACTTATTCTCATTAATAAAACCATTTTGTAGTTTTAAATATAATCGTTTCACTTGACTTTTGTCCTTTAAAAAAGAAAATACATAATGTAGAAATAGGTTTAATATGATTATACATGTATAGCCTATATCAGATTGCATGCTGTCTTGGGGAGGGAGGAAAATTTGGAACTCAAAATCTTATAAAAGTGAATATTAAAAACTACAAATAGATAAATTAATTAATTAAAAAAAGAAAATATAGATGCATTATTATGTTTTGTGAGTACTTTTTTAGCCAGAATTGTATCTATTGGGAATGCAGGGAATGGTTAGTTTATAGATGCTAAATTCAAGAACAAACCAGCATCAAGAGTAAAAAAAAAAACAAAAACCACACGGTGATGGGGAAATAAGCAGCTAATGCTGTAGAATAATTTTATAAACAACAAGGAGAAAAATGGAACAAATTCTTGAAGTCTAGAAACAAGAATTTCTTTAATTGTAGAGCGTTTTTCACTTTGCCAATAACCAATTCAAACATGGAATAAATACATGTATATATGTACATTTCATTTGAACCTCATGACAATCCTGTAATGTGAGTGCTGTGATCACCCCCATTTGATAGATAAGGAAATTGAAGCTGAGAGGTTAAGTGACTTACACGGCTGGTAAAGTCTTCCTGGCTCCAGGCTCAGAACTCTTTATCTTTTATGCCACCTCCCTGCCTTAAAGAGAAAGGAAGGAAGAAAAGCACATACAAGATCACTTGGGAGTGAGCTGGGGAGGAGGGGGAGAATCTGGAAAGGCCTCAATAGAAGTGACATTTGAGTTGAACTTTAATTATAATATTTTTAAGTATAATTTTTTAAACTCTATTTCCCAACATTCCAAACATGGAATGGTTAAATTATTTTTACCCAGTAAAAGAAATGCATTTTCCCTCTCTTACGTCGCTTTAATGGAGATCCTGAGGCTTAGAGCCTGAAACAGACCTTAGAGATTATCTAGTCTAATTCTGTCATTTCACAGATAGGGAAAATGAGGCTAAGGGAGGTTAAGTGACTTACATACGGTCACACAGGCAGTAACACTGGTGCAACCACAGATGATTAGTGTTCTCTGGATAAATTCTCATTGTGCTCAAGCTTTAGAAGCAGAGCAGTGAATTTTCACCCATTCTCCCTACTAGACTGATACTCAGCTGAGATCTGTTTTGCTCTCACTTATCCTCAAACTGAGACCATTCGGCCAAGCGTAGTGTTTTCTGCATAGTGACATAGTTAAATATTCAACCCAGTTTTTCTACTGTGTGAGGTGAGGCAAGATTGGACATCAGGACTTTGTGACATAGTGGGGGAAAGTGTGACCGACCCCTAAGCAGGTGAAGGCTGTAGGGGCTAGTGTATGGTGGCGAGAAGTCTGGAAAGCATGCTGTATCCATGTGGGTAACAAGGGAACCCACGAGCTCTGATCAGGCGAGGCCTAAGCGGGGAAGGCAGTGTGGTCTGGTGTGGACTGGGTGTCATCAGAGCATTTCGTGGCGGTGTGGATAGATCGCATCTCTCCCACTAGGTTGTAAGGGGTCATGTTTTAATTTATGTCTCTCCCCATGACTAGCAATGTGCTCTGCTCCTTCAAGATGCTAAATAAATTCTAAATAGTGTTGGGATATGGGAGGAGGGAAGGTAATAAAAAAGAATGAGCACTGGCTCACAAGTCAGAAGACCTGGGTTCAAAATCCCACTTCTGAGGGGAGGTTACTTCACCCGCTTGGGCCTCAGTTTCCTCATCTGTCAAAGGGGAGGTTTGGACAAGTAGCCTGATAGATGATCTGTGATTGACCTGGGTTCAAATCCTGGCTTTGCTACTTAATGCTTGTGTGGCCTTGGAGAAGTCACTTTGCTTCCCTGGGCCTCAGTTTCTTCATCTGTAAAAAGACTGACTTGGACTTGGTGATTTTCGATCCCAGATCCCTTCGAGCTCTAAATCTGTGTTCTTCAGAATGTGGGGTCAGGGTAGTCAAAGAAGGCTTCCTGGTGAAAGCAAGACTTGAGCCAGGCCTTGAAGGATGAGGAGAATTTGGATAGTCGTGTTGTCTTTTCCATGGCTGATCTCACTTTTGAGGAAAGCAAAAAGGAGTAGATTCAGTCAGTCACCAAACATTTATTAAGCACTTAGTATGTGCCAGACCCTGTGCTAAGCACTAGGGAAACAAAGAAAGGCAAAACCCCAATGCCTGCCCTCAGGGAGCTTACATTCTAATGGGGAAAACAGCATGCAAATGACTATGTACATACAAGCTATGTAGATGTGTATGTGCATGTGTATATGTATATATGTAGATGGAAGGTGACCTTAGAGGGAAAGGCCTCTTGCAAAGGGTAGATTTGAGCTGAGCCTTGAAGAAAGCCAGGGAAACTAAGAGGCAGAGGTGATGGGGCAGATCCTCATCCCAAACATTATTCCTTTATGATGCTTGCTGCAGGAATTCTTTTTTTTTTCTTTTTGTTGAGGCAGTTGGGATTAAGTGACTTGCCCAGGGTCACGTAGCCAGTAAGTGTCAAGTGTCTGAGACTGAATTTGAACTCAGGTCCTCCTGACTCCAAGGCCAGAGCTCTATCCACTGCGCCACCTAGCTGCCCCCAGGAATTCTTTCTTGACACTCTATCTAATGAGCTGACAGTGAGCTTTCCCTTCTCAAATCTGCCTAGACCAGATCATTCCTTTGCCTTATCTGGTAGGTGGCACAGTGGATAGTGATAGGCTTGGAGTCAGGAAGGCCTGAGTCCAAATCATGCTTCAGATGCTTACTAGGTATGTGACTCTGGGCAACTTGTTTGCCTCAGTTTCCTCATCTGTAAAATGGTGGTAATAATAGCACCTACCTCCCAGGATGGTTGGGAAGATTAAATGAAATAACTTTTTTAAAGGGTTTTGCACACCTTGAAACACAACATAAGTGATACCTATTATTGTTATTATCACATTCTCCCTTGTATATAGCTATTTATATATGTGTGGTCTCCCTTCTGAGAGCAGGGCTTGTCTTTTTTTCGTCTTTGTATCTCTAGCACCAAGCAGAGTGTAATTCATGCCATAAGTGCTTAATAAATATTTACTTGAAGTGAGAGGAATTGAACGTAAGAATGTATAGCTGGTTTCCATGAGAAAATGCTTTTAAATGGTAAAATGTAAGAAACTAAATGTCAGCAAATGGCCAAATGACTCCTAACTCTGTCTTTCCCCCACAGGAGTCGAGAGAGACAACGGGCCACTGTAGGATTCACACAGGTCACAAAAACCACACACAACGCCTAGAGACAGACGTTGCAGAGGTCTTACTCAGGGCAGAGTCAGCAAGCACAAGGAGACCTGTCCTGCAGCCTGAACAGCCTGAAATCCAAGCAGACAGACGAATCCCTGGCCCTGATCTGAGAGGTCAAGGTCAAGGGGACCTTCACTGCCCTCACTGCATGAGGTTCTTTCATGATGAGGAGGGCGAGGAATTTCTTAGACACGTGTCTGAATGCTGTCAGTGACCAAGTCACCTGAAGAAGTTAGTCAAAGGCAGGGCCAGGGTGAATCGACTGCAAAGACTCTCCAGTCATTCATTTGGACAATCTGGTCCCCTGAAGAAGTATGATTCACTAAAGACATGGGAACAAAAATGGGAGAGCGGATCTGCCAAAGGACCAGTCAGTCATCTGGGGGTAAATCTCATTTGAGCTGTGTGACATTCCAACTCAAAGCCTACTGCCTAGCACACTGGAGCAGAGAAGGGGAATCAGCCATTGGATTTCTCCAGAGAGGGCGAAATGGCAGTATACCAGGCGATCAAGTGCCTGGTAACCAATTGGGTAAGGTTCCATCCCTTCAAGGATGAGTTGGGAAGAGTAAATACAAATTTATCTTTCTGTTGAAGAAAGCACCAATTTCTAAGAGTCAGAATTCTGACTCAGTCATTTACACCTGCTTTCAGTTCAGCTCAAGATGGTAAAACTGTTATTCAACATGGGCAACTGAGGTGTAGGAGATGGCTAGGGTGGGACAGTTTGAGTGAAACTTGCCCATCTTTGGAATGGACAAGTGTTACCGGGTGTTCTTTCCAATGGCCTCAGAATGGAGCACATGGGGCCTGGTCTGTCAGAACAAGGCAGGACAAGATCCACATTGATGCTCTGTCAAGCCTTCACATGCTGCAGTGTGTCAAGTACAGAGTGTGGAAGACATTCAGGTCACACAGATGACCCAGATTTGGCTCAAGAAGCGAGGACTGAACATCACTGCCCTGTCTTATGTGAAGGGTGGGGAATAGGCTTTTGGAAACAGTGGAATCCCATTTTGTTTTTGCACTGATGTACCTTGTGTTGGCAAGTTGCAATTTTTTTCTTAGGAATTGACTTTATATGAAGAATTAAAATCATATTTTATATTCACTTATTTTTATAATAAAATACACTGATGTGACTATTGATGTTTTCATGTGTTTCTTCATCTAAAACTCTGATAAAAAGATTGAATAATATAAGGCTATTGGGGAATTCTTATGACCAAGAATACTTGGACCTTCATGGACAGGGTATACCTATCACTGGGGTTCTGATGACTGTGGGTCAAAGCTAAGAGGCCAGACTGAAAGGAAAGAAATGTATTAACATGTTAAGGAATACTACTCCTGCTGAATAGCTTCAGCTACCCAGGACACAAATTTGGTTTTTATAAGCTTTCAAGCCCACTTAGAAATACCCAACTAATTGCAACATTCTATAGCAAATTAGGATAGAAAAGTAAAAGATTTAATAAGAGACAAGTAGAGAAAGAGAGGGATTAGCCAAGGGAGAAAGGGAGAATATTTGGAACGTTACTAGTGGGATTTATCATAAGAAAACATTCCCTATTCAAGGGTAGGAAATAAGGGGAAACAACTGTGAAAGAAATTCTTTTAGATAAGACCACAAGGTCTCTTACCCAAGTCCAGCAAATAGTTGTTACAACAGCAGATGAGGCCATCCACTTTACTCTGACCTTACACAGTTTGCTATATTTTATTTCCCCTTCAATAGTAACTAGACACTTTTTACTATTAGGCCACTAGCTGATTGGGGGATTCATCCATCAAGTTGCTGCAAAATAATTGTGGTTCCTATTTTTCCCCCTACAAGGCCGAGGATAGATTCCTAGGGCATTTTATCAGAGACCTTCCTCTAGAATGATATAAGTCCATCTATCACTGCTCTTTGGCCTTAATCATTCAATCCATTCCGAATCTACCTGTCATCTAGCCTATGTTTCATCCCATATTATACCATCCCATGTGTCCCTGTACTTGGTATGTAGTAAGGGCTTAATAAATGCTAGTTCATTTCGTTGCTTTTGTCATCTCATCTACAAAGATATTATGTGACATTCTGTCCAATGCCATGCTATTTTCATAACTTTGTATCCCCATCTCTTACCATGTTAGGTCGCACATAGCAGTACACGGTTGTTGAATTGACAACTAAATTCAGTGATTCCAGCTTTACAGAATTTCTGACCAACCCATTCTGCTCCATTTCATCAGTTACTATACCAATCTGATAGCCCTTTCAAAAACGAAATGGAGTTATTCTGGGATGGAGTTGTTTTTGGTGAACCCATGCTGGCTCTTAGTGATTACTGCTTTCTGCTCAAAATCCTCACTTAACCATCCCGTTAATAGCATATTCTAGAAGTGAAGTCAAGCTCACTTGTCTACGGTTTGTCAACTCTACTGTCTTTCCACTCACCTCTCCTTTTTAAAATAAATTGGGAATGTTTGCCCATCTTAGTTCTGTGGCACTTTTCTCATCTGTCAGGATTTGCCAGGGATCAGTGGAAGCAGCTTAGCAATTCCATCTACCAGTTGTTTCAGTGCCCTGGGATGTAGTCCCATTTGGAACTGAAGGCAGCTAAATACTCTCATTACTTCCTTGCTTGTCTTGGGTTTTTGACTCTGTTAATCGACATGTATTCTTTCCCTCCCAGTCTGAAAATTGGTTGGTGTAGAGGATAAGAACACTAGGCCTGGAGTCAGGAAGACCTGAATTCAAATCCAGCCTCAGAAACTTACTAGCTGTGTGATCCTGGGCAAGTCACTTAATCTCTGTTTGCCATAGTTTCCTCATCTGTAAAATGAGGATAATAATAGCACTTACCTCTATGAAGATCAAATGAGATAATAATTATAAAGCACTTAGCACAATGCCTGCACATAGCACGTGCTACATAAATGTTAGCTATTATTATTATTCTCCTTGATAGGGAAAACCTAAAATACTTTAGCAATAACTCACAATAACAATAGCTCATATTTATATAGATACTTTAGGCTTTCAAATTGATATATATTATTTGTTACATATGATTTACATATAATTATACTATGATTATATAAGTATATCATGTATAATATATAATGTAACAATATGTATTATGCACACACACATAATCTCCAATGAGAGATTGTATACACTTACTATTTGCAATCCAGTAAGAGCCATCCACATGCCCTCAAGGCATCGGTTACTGGAATATGAATTCCATGAGCAGTAGTAGTTGATCCAGCACAACAAAAGCCAACCAACTTTGACCTGATGATCAGCTACATTGAATCCTCTCTTGGCAGTGGGCATGAAAACTTTTAAATCTTTATAATGAGCAGATATATATAGTATCATATATATAATATATAATTCAATAATGCATTAATATTATGTGACAAATATTTTAGGGTAATTAATAGGTGATATTTATATAAATAATAAAATATATAATAATAATGCATTATAATGAATATCCTATATCCATTATATGTGTATAGCCTACAATGGGTACAACCATCCTTCAATCATTTAGCACTATCTTCTAGATCAGAGGTTTGGCCTACTTCCCCCTTTAAAAAAATTATTCAGTTCCCCTCCCCCAGAAATCTACTTTCTTTCACCCTTTAATGGTTTTTTGGGGGGAAATTTGCATCATTTAAAAAATATAAAATATATTTTTTAAAAATGATGCATCTTAAATTTAATGATTTGTTGTAAATTTGTGGTTTTTTCCTGTATTGAAATTTTGATGATGCAATATTGCGTCATGTAACCAAATAGTATCGTATTGTGAACAAGTCATTACACCCACATATTCCTGTGGATGCCTGCTGGACTTCCTCACAATGCCCAAGGAATTCTCCTGCCAACACCTGTTTGTTAAGACCTGTTGGCAGACTTGACTGGACCTGACTGCTGATCAGTTATAACTTGCATTTGTGTGTTTATTTGGAAAATAATATAATCGCTATGTCTTTAACTCTGTTACACAACAGATGAAACAGGTACAAATGGTTTTTCAAAATTTTCTTAGCTTCTTCTTTCCTTATTTTTATTCAATGCCCCCCAACTGCACCCGAGGCTACTACCGCCCCCCCGCATCATTGCAGTGCCCCCCAGGGGGTGGTATTGCCCACTCTGGGAACCTTTGTCAGATGAAGACTTTCCTGATGGCCACCCTGCCCAACAATTGCTAATGTATTCCCTCATGCTGCCTACCCCGACAGCAGGGATTGCTTTGATTTTGTTTCTGTATCCCCAGCAGCTAGCCCACTACCTGGCACATAGGAGTCAATTTATGAATGCTTGTTGATTGGCCCATAATTTGTTTCTAGGATTTTTGTTTGTTTCTGTGTGTGTTTTACTATTACAAATAATGCTGCTATGAAAGTTTAGGTACACATGGGATTTTTTTTTCTTTTTGCCATTGACTTCTTGGGATATAAACCCCCGGCACCAGGGTGCCTGGCCAAAAGGTGTGAACCCGTTAGTTACTCTCCCTGTATAATTCCAAATTGTCTTCCTGAATGCCAAACTCATTTACTTTACGAAAACCGAAACAGGCCTGGAACCAGGGTATGGCTTCCTCAAAGTCACGTAGCTCTGGGTGGCAGAGCCAGGTCTAGAAGCCAGGTCTCTCTGGCTCCTCTTTTCTTTGGACTGAAAGGTAAGTTTATCCCTAAAAGGAATTGGAAGAGAGTTATCTCCTAACTTCATGGCAACAGGGTCTAAAAACAGAGAAAAGGAGTTTCATATACACTTTTCATTGGTCATGAAAACTTCAGCACAAAATTCTTGGCTCCGCATGCAGTTATTAAATGCCTAGTGTGTGCTTGACTCTGGGAATACCAAGACAGAAATGAAACTGTCCTTGCTCTGAAGATTATTCTATCAGGGAGACAACATGTACATAAAAATAAAAGGCAAATATTAGCCGTAGGATTCTTGTTGTTCAGTGATTTTCAGTCTTTTCTGACCCTTTGTGACCGCATCTGGGGTTTTCTTGGCAAAGATACTGGAGTGGTTTGCCATTTCTTTCTCTAGCTCATTTGACAGATGAGGAAACTGCGGCAAACAGCATTAAGTGACTTGTCCAGGGTCACATAGCTAGTATCTGAGGCCATATTTGAACTCAGGAAGATGAGTCTTCCTGACTCTAGGCCTGGCACTACTATCCAACTGCACCACCTAGCTGCCCCAAGGATCTTGGGGGTTTGGAATTGTGGTATGGCATGAAAGGAAACACTCTGCTTAATTAGTAGGTTCTTAAAATAAACCCCTGAAAGAGTTTTTGAAAACAAAAGAAAATCTGTTTAAAGACTTTTTTTGCATAGTTATGTCATTTAACTGGAAGCAACCTAGATGTCCAGCATTAGGGGAGGGTTAAATAAATTGTGGAACATTAACGTAATGGAATACTATAATGTAATTATAACCAGAAAATATGAGAATGCAAAGACATCTGGAAAAATCCTTATGAAATAGACAAATGGAGGACACACTAATTACCACCATATGAATGTAAGTAAATAAGAATGAAGGGACAAAGAAGGGGCAGGGTATTGTAAAGGAAAAACCTCTGGAGCTGAAGTCAGAAGACCCAAGTTTGAATCAATAATACATGACGTGGGGCAATTGAGTCACCAATAAACATTTATTAAGTGTCTGCTCTGGGCCAGGAGCTGTTAGGCTCTGGGCAAGATGCTTCTCCTTCCTGGGCCTCAGTTTCTTCTTTCAGTCTTTGCTACAACCTTCTCCTCTCAGGCCCTCTTCCCACTCTGGGAGCCCCCTCAGTTCACTAAACTTCCTTTAGTGATGGGCAGGGTTCAGACCTCTCCCTTAGGCCTAGGAACAATTATGTGGCACAGGGGGATAGGGTATAGAGAGTGGAGGCAGGAAGATCTGAGTTCTAATCCAGTCTCAGACACTAACTAACTACGTGACCTAGGTAAATCACTTCACCTTTATTTGCCTCAGTTTCCTCATCTGTAAAATGGGAATAATAATAGCACCTACCTCACAGGGTGATTGGGAAGACGTAATGAAATAATAACTACAAACCAATTAGTACAGTGCCTGGCACATAGTAAGGGCTATATAAATATT